GCGTATCATCAACGAACCCACTGCAGCGGCTATCGCATACGGTTTGGACAAGAAGGTACATTGTTTTCTTTGATTTAGTCTGTTTTGAAGAAGGAAAATATCAGGGTGATTCGAAAATTTAGATGATTCAATTGTGGTATAAGTCTAGGAATGTTTTTGGATGTTCAAGGGTTAAGGCTTGAGCTCAAGAATAGCGTTAATTGTTCCAGTTGAGGTGTGAACCTAGGAGAGCATAATTAGATGTTTGATTTGGCACGAGTCTAGTGACGACATTAGATGTCTGGGTTGAGACATGGAATTAGGAGAACATCATAAGGGGAGAGAGCAGTGTGATATTGAATCGATGAATTTTGCAGGGATCTGGTGAACGTAATGTGTTGATNAAGCGCAAGCACAAGAAGGACCTGTCGACCAACCCCAGGGCACTGCGACGTCTGCGTACGGCGTGTGAACGTGCCAAACGTACCCTGTCAAGCTCATCTCAAGCTAGGTGAGTTAGTTGTTGGCATTTTTGCTTTAATTATTGTTTTTGTTATTATTATTATTATTATTACTGTTATCTATTACTGTTATTATCTGTACTGTTATCTATTATATTGTTACTATTATTAGGTACTGATACTGTACTGTTATTTATACTGTTATTACTGTTATTGTTATTTATACTGTTATTATGTACTGATTATTGTAATTGATTAAGTTTTGTGATTATTTCAGTATTGAGATCGATTCACTGTTCGAGGGCATCGACTTTTACACGAACATCACCCGTGCCCGATTCGAGGAGCTGTGCGCTGATCTCTTCAGATCAACGATGGAGCCAGTCGAGAAGGCGCTTAGAGATGCCAAGATGGACAAGTCTTTAATGCACGATATCGTTTTGGTTGGCGGGTCGACGCGTATCCCGAAGGTGCAGAAACTGCTGTCGGACTTCTTCTCGGGCAAGGAGCTGAATAAGTCGATAAACCCCGACGAGGCAGTGGCCTATGGAGCGGCCGTACAGGCAGCCATCTTGTCTGGTGACAAGTCGGAGACCGTGCAGGATCTGTTACTGCTGGATGTGGCACCACTGTCGTTGGGTATCGAGACAGCCGGCGGTGTGATGACGGCGTTGATCAAGAGAAATACGACCATTCCAACGAAGACATCGCAGACATTCACCACATATTCGGACAACCAGCCTGGTGTGCTTATTCAGGTTGGAGATTTGGTTTATGGAGGTTTTTAGGGGGTTTGGGTTGAAGTAGGTTGGGTGATTTTGAGACGGGAGGGGTTAGGGTTGGTTTTTGGATTGGGTATGATCTGAGGACTTGAATTTTTCAGGTTTTCGGGGACTTTTGGGGAGTTTTTGAGTGGGAACGTTGATCTTAGCTTTGGAATGTGGTGATATGGTGGTGTATTTTCTTTTTTAGGTCTATGAAGGTGAACGTTCAATGACGAAGGACAACAATCTGCTGGGTAAATTCGAGCTGTCG